AGATTCGACAAAAATTCAGCAGAGATAAATTTTAATGCTCATTCTTGAATTATAAACATAACTCATAAAAATTCAAATCAAATCAATCTAGTAAAGGTTTACCTAAGCACTGTTCTTGATTTGGCTAATTGTTCTGAAACGACTTAAAACAAAGCATATATGTTAGCACAGAGAGCAGGGGAATGATAATTGATACAAACTGTGTTTTATGCTTGCAAACCCCATACAAGGAGAAGAATGCAACTCTCTAATCGGTACCGTCCTCGTCTGAAAGCGCTTTGTCCAGCTTAGCAAATGGAAGGTCTGAGGCCGTAGCAAGTAACTCCGATTAAGTCCGGCGGGAAGAAGGTGAACGTTGGGGACTTTGGGTTGGGCTTTTGGTTTTTTGGGCCAAAGGGTTAGGTTTGTATGAACGGTTTTTCGTTCATCCATCCATTGCTCTTCTGCAAGAAAGGTTCAGACAGTTGGAGAGAGCCAAGAAGATAAGGCAGGAGAAAGAGCTCTTACGTATGTTCCCTGAATCAAGGCAGATCAATGCAGCTATGTCTTATGTGCCATACAGATCGCTTTTACACCCTGTACTCATGCTTCAGTCAGAGCTGCCGCTTCAGTGTACACTCAAAAGAGAAGCTAGTCTGCAGAGCAGGAATACCCAGGTTCAGGTCATTCAAACTCCAATGTTGGAGAATTTATGGTCCAGGGACACTGTCATATGCACAACTGACAATGATGATATTTCAGATGTTGATACTTCACTTCATCTGTGAAAAAGTATTACAATGTTAGTCTACCTAGTAATCCTGTGGTTTCCTTCCGTTTGTTCTTCATGGGGCAGTAAGAATATGGGAACGAAAAGAAGGAGCTAAAGAAAAGAAAACAGAATATGTAATGTAGCTAATGGCCATTATCTTATGTATCTTCAGCAACTACATAGCGATCAGAAAGGCAATTCGCTTCTCTCTTTTGAAATGCATTCTCATCATAGGTAATGTTATCCAATTTGTCACTGTTCCCTTTCCTCTTCATGAATTTGGGAATCAATCGAGTTCCATCTTTGGCCTCTGACATTGCTTCCCCATTGTTTATCTGCTCAAAACGAACAGCACTAACCTTTCAAGCATTTGCAGCTAATATCTGCACCAGGGACAACATTTCACTCACATTAATCAGTAATTCAATTGTGTGCTCAAGATTTAGTATTATTACCCTATACAGTTATCACCTGGATAATTTATTTTCCAGAAAAAAATGTTTAAACTTGAATGTTACACAAGAACGAAGTATATGAATTATTATTATCAGTTGCTAAGTTTCTTTTAGCAAACTGAGCCACCAAATGAAGCATCTCATAGGATGAACCACATAAAAGCAGATTCCTATATGAACAAATGCATGCCCCCATAATAGCATTGATTTCAGAAAGTTATATGTGGAAGAGAGTCAAGAGACTGCATGATTGCTAGCTACATTCATTTTCTTAGTTTTTTCTACTGAAATCCATTCGGTTCTTTTACCCTACCTCAAGTCTATATATTTGATGCCTTTCCTTCAAATCTTGATGACCAGATCCATCTTCATCATGCTTATCATCATCATCTTAATTATCCCTTTTAGGACAACTTTGATGCTCTCATCAGCCCTAGGGATGTATCCAAATACTTCACATACAAAACCAGATACTGTTTCATACTGATGTTCCTATAGAATAGCATGGTGAACAAAGAACAATGAAGTAGAAATATGAAATTTAAAAGTTAAAGGAACATTTTGATAGTTATTTACAGTGTGAGATTAACTGTGCCTTCACTTCAAAATGAATTAAAAACCACATTGCATTTTTAACTATTTACTTTATCCTCTCCCCTTCTTCTTCTTCATTTGTTTTTTTATTTTTTAAGTAGTGGTCGCTTAATCATAAGGCATAATAATCCCACAACAGTCACAATAAACAGAATTTCACTTGCAACTGGGATCAGAAATATCAAGTATACAAGTCTGGCTATTTTTAAGATTCCTACGATCAACTACTATGTGGCAGAGAATGAAATTTTAATGAGCCTGTGGAAATGGCAGGAGAAGTGTACAATCCTAGAAATAATCAAAGGTAGAAATGATCCTAATAACTGAGTTTTACCTTTAATGTTTAAATTCTCCATTCAGTGCTCTATACACCATAACAACGAAAATCAGCAATGGTATAGAATAATATACCTCTGGCATTTTGATACTCAAGTCCTCAGATGGCAAATAAATAGATGCATGGGCATGGACATCATATACTCCCTCTGCTCTCATTACAATATAGCCAGTTTTCTTCTGGATCACCTC